CTCGAGTTGTGGCGAAGCTCACAACAATAAGCTGATGAGTTCTTCCTTCGCACTCGTCAGCCTAAATATCCTGTTTACCAAAACGATGTCTATCACTCAGCAGCGGATTTAAATATTTGTTCAATTCTGTCATAGTGTTGTTTTCTTATTTTGTGACAAAGTTTTCAAAGGAGTTTTCCTGTGGTGAAGTCAAGTTTGTCCCAAATGTTGTTCTAAGTGTCACGACTGTGACCTCAGGAATGTGGTCTTATGTACATTCAGATGAAACACGGCTTTGATTCAGAGGAAATGTTATCACTTGATTTTCTTCAGTTCAAATCAATTAATGGTTTAACAGCCGAGAATATTTGATTTTGTTCACTAAAAAACTACTAAAAAAAAATCTGTCAATTTTTTTACTTATTAATATTTTGATGCTTCTTCATTTGGTAAACTAAAAAAAAAAAATCTGTCAATTTTTTCACTTATTAATATTTTGATGCTTATTTAGAACTTTATTCTGTGACAAACTTAATTCTAAACTTACTCTACAGTCATTTTACTCTGTCGATGAACCTGCTGACGATCATGAATGGAAACGTTCTGGAAATAATTCTTGATGGTGTTGAGTTTTTGACCCGTATGTCAGCAGTTTGCATCAGCTGTTCCTCAACCGCTCCTGGTGACTTCTGTTTTCTGCTGCGGCTCGTCCGCTCTACTTTTTTATTTTCCCAATCCAGGAACAAAAGTCACATTTATTTAATTTATTAATGTAACAAGAAGATTCATAACAAAAGAAGTGGTTTGTTGTAGGGAGAGCCAGTCATTTATTACTGAAAAACAATGGCATCGTCAACGTTGCCCTCATTAAGGAAACTTTTTACAGGCTTCTGAAATGTTCACATCTATTTCCGATGAAGAATGAGGAACAGTTGTAGCTCTGTTTCCTGTTTCGTTTTATTCAACATTTTCTGTTAAATCCTTGTTGCAATAGTAATGAGTCAACAACCTTAACAATATATATATATATAAAAGAACCTACTTTTAAAGTTCTAAAATCATAGAACTTTGTTAAATGACTTTTTGTCTGTGTGCCCTAAATACTCTCTGTGTTACACGATAAAATACATTTGATCCAAATGGAAAAATTATTCTTTAATACCTGTATTAAGTCTTCGCAGAAAACCAGCACTTGCAGCTACATCTGATGATAGAATGTGGAACGTTGTACGTGACAGGACATGTAGAAGTCAAAGTGTTCCTGTCAGGAGAAGCCGGTCCCTGGTGGCCATTCTGCTGGTTTGTTCTGATGGAGTAAAGATTTTTAAAGGGCAGATGCAAACATCAGCATTTTTAATCAAAATCCAAACTATAAAAAATAAAAAAAAAAAGAAATAATTTGTTTCAGATGGAGCAGTTTTCAGAGCTGAATATGAAACAATGCACTCTCTGTGCCGTAATTGGTGGAACATGGAGCTCCAGTGCATCTACATAATGTCCAAAAATGCAGCGAGACACATCAAAAACGGTCCTTCAAAGACCTTTTTTTTTTATTCTTCTGTAGAGAATGAAGAGAAAAAAAAAAGAAATAAAAACTAAACAAAGAAACGGCTATAATTACTTTGACCGCCGCGCCGTTGGAAAACAGCATTAGCAATAACAAATCAGAAAACAATGAGAGATCAAGTCAGAGATGAATGAAGAGGCCTGAGAATGACTGAGAGCAGATCCACGTCCTGGTGTGTGTGTGTGTGTGTGTGTGTGTGGTTAGGTGTTAAACATATGTATGGTTACATGCATACATGTCTGTGACTCCCTCTGTGTGTGTGTGTGTATTACTGAGTGGGTATTTGTGTGTAATCATGTACGTCAGGCGGTCATGAATGGTGTGTTTGAGACGGAGCGGAGTGTGGAGTTCCTCGGGCTGGACCAAATTGGAAACAGAAAAACAAACATTCCCTAGGAACCCCTCCACTCTCCCGCTTCCCCCGCCTCCTCCTCCTCCACCCCCACGTCTGCTGGCTAGTGGCGCAGTCCAACCTGTCTGGGACAATGTAACGGTCTATCGTCGGCCTGGACCACACGCATTTGTGGAGTTGGGGGCGGAGGAGGGGAGTGAGCGAGTGAGGGAGCGAGGGAGGGAGGGAGCTGGTGTGCAGGAGCCAGCATCTGTGGTGGTGGTGGGGAGGGATCCCACAGTGACAGTTGGAAAAACAGACAGTAGAAGAATATGAATATGACAGAGCGCTCAGTGATGGATTGATGGGAGAGAGGAGAGGTGGAGGGAGGAGACAGAAGGAGAGTTAAACGTTGATGGACATGCCGAGGAGAAAAACTGAGATAAGCCACGGTGGTGGAATGGAGTGAAAAGGAGGAGGACGAGGAGAGAAACAGATTGGCAGGGGAAGACAGTGATTGAGCAAATGAATAAGCAGCGGCAGCTCCTATGAGTCAGTGTTCCACAGGGAAAATATTTAGACCCACACTCGCTCTCTAACAAAAAGAAAACCTTGTTCTCTCTTTTTTTTTTTCCTTTTTCCCATTGGTGGACACTGCTAATGAGTGAGTTGCCCTCCAATTTTTCACTTTCCTTGAGGAGAAAGTTCCTACTTTCTTTCAGCTCTAATAACTAATGCTGTTTTGCGGCCAGTTGTGTAAAATACAGAAGAATATGTGTACGTTGTCAGTGTGTAATCACAACTGGAATTTTTTAAAACCGGTGGGAAATGATCACAGCTTATAACTCTACAGAGGCTACCTTTTTTTTTCATTTCCTGCTGTATAAAAGATTTCAGCTCCTCAACAGTCTGTGCTCTACAGCTGTTTGTACCAGAACAGTCGAGGAAAGCAACACTTTTGTTAATATGTGTGAGAAGGACTTGGGATGACACAGTCTGAGGGAGTGTTGTGATGCAGCAGCAGACAATGATTACCTGAAACCTTTGTTATCACTAAACCTGCTCTTTGAGAACCTTTTCAGAATACCCTCAGTATGGACATTTTCTGCCTTTTCTGTCCTTGTCCCAGTTTTTTTTCTGTCTTCAAAGATTAAGTTTCAAATTTTTGTCTTTGTAAAAGCATAAAAACAAACATCATGTAATTTAGCCTGTCAAATGCTAAAAACAAGAACTAGGCTGCAGTTGCATTTTTAGGAAGTGAACAACCCCCTTCTCTGAATATGTGGTTTATTGTATAAATCATTAAACCACAGTGAATCCTCATTTGCAGCCGTGAAGACACGTACTGTTACAGGGTCCTGCGGCCTGACTACCTGGAAATCATTACCAGCTTTTTTCTTTTTCTTTTTTTTTAAACCCGTATTTTAACTTACTGTTTAAGATGGGAGGGTCCTTAAATGAGTCATAATTTCAGTAATGACTCATAATGTGTTTTAAAACTCATGCCAGCACTCTCTTTTTTTTTCTTTTCAGCCAGCAGATATCCCTTTTCAGATAATGACGCACTCAAGTTCTCAAATGGCTCATGTGTTCATTTTCTGTCCGTTACCCAAACAGAGTACGAACTGGAACTAGGATGTGGTCGGGTCCACACCGGGACCAGGTAAACCACGGAACAGGTGCCCCGGGGCTTTGAAAAGCACCTTGTATGCATCTGTTTCAACTTCTTTGTAGGGTTTTGCCATTTAATATACACCAGGTCTAAATTGGAAGTGACAGTGGAAATAAAAAATCTGTGGATATGCACGGTCTCTCCGCTCTATCTTCTGTTTTATCGTTTAAGAAATTTAATGACCCTCAGAGAAACAAGTTCCCCCCCAAAAAAATATACAGATGTGAGCCTCGAGCCGTGAATGTGTGTACGTGTGAAGACTCTGGATGGGCCGGTTGTCCACACAAACACACCTACATGCTGACACACACGAGTCAGACTGACCCAAGGAAACTGGCGTTGTGTAAATACAGACTCAGATTTAGATTTGCGGTAAGCGAGAGAGAGAGAGAGAGAGAAGCAAGATGGATGGAAAGTGGAAGAAGAAAGGGTGGCAGTGAGAGAAGCGGGAGAGGGTGGAGTGATTTTTGTGGTTGGGGCAACAAAAGGGGGAACCGAGAGCTGGAGAGTCTGACATTTAACACTAGAATTACCAAATAACGACAGTATAATTGGCCGTGGCTCTGGCCAGTGGAAATGCGATATCCAATCATGTGTTTTATTTATTATTACTACCTTCAAATTGCTCGGCCATGATGGGTTTAGCTCTCATTTATAATGTGATCAATAATGAAATAGAGCGAATAATAATTATGGGAAGAAAGTGAGGGAGGGGCCTGGTGTCGGGGGCGCTGATTGAACCTGACTGGTTTTCCTAATTTAAAATAATTCCTCTTGGTTTTATTAGTGGCTTTTCTGTCACCAGTGTATTGGCAGCCAACTCTAACTGGCTGTTAGCTCTGAGTACTTTTAGCTGCCTTTACATTGCCAATGTGTTTTGGCCTGCTCTAGTCTGTGCCAGTTTCCATAATAGCACCCACCTTAGTGAGACACACTCATGCTTGTTATTAAAAAGTATTTGCTTTTAATTGTGCTCTGTGGAGCGTGGCCTTCCTCTCTGAGCAGATGGAGAAGCACTTTCAACAACACATCGCTTTAGTCAGACCGGTATTAAAGATCCGTTAGAACAAATGTAAAAGAAATGACTTGCTAATGCACCTCCTCATGTTGATTTCCCTCTCAATTGCTCACGAGTTCAAAACGCATTAATACGGCTGCCGTGATGTCATCCTGAGGCCCTTGGAACAACATTCACAGGTGGAAGCCGTAGTCCACTGTCAAATCTGATGATGAAACACTAAATTGGTGCGATCAGAGCGTTGGACTGGCTGTGGGCCTCCGGAGGGCACTGTGTTGTTTTTCTTGATCTGCCAGTCAATTTGGTTTGTCTTGCGTCTGGGCAAAATTGTTTCCCGTAAATGTTAAAAGTGCACAAAATGTTTGAAGTCAAACGGGTTCCAGTAAACGTTCCACAACGCTCTAACTTTATTTGTCTTTCTGTCACGTTCCAGGTTGTTAAGGTGATGCCGAAGTCTGACAAGCATAACTGAGAGCTGAACCTGAAAGAAAAAAGAGAACGAAGGGCTGCCATGCACTTGATCAAACTCAGAACTGTGTAGAGCGGCAGTTCAGACAGCCGTCGGATGTGGACCAAAGGGAACCGCTGCTGCATGGAGTTTAGGATGTTCTCCGACAGAAGTCAGAGAAGCTAAAAAAGTTGAGTGTGGAGTTACCGTTCGTGGACCTGCTCTGTAAGACATGGAGGGATACTAGTTTGGATCAGGCAACAGCCGTCTGCCTCCTGTTACCGTGTGGAGTACCAGGCACCAGTAGCCGGACCGCGCTGCTGGACAGAACACCTGTGGGGCGGAGTGGAATTGAGCTGCTTCAGCTGAACCGATGCCAAGGCCCAGCGTCAGGCGTGATGTTTTTGTAACCTGATGACCGGCAGAGGTAGGAATTATCTCTTTATTTTTCAGTCCATATCACACAGTGGCAGTGGAATAAAGAAATACCCCAGTCACACAGTGGCAGTGGAATAAAGAAATAAAGTGGAATAAATAAATAGATCACTACAGTATATTTACTTAGATTAAATAAAATCTGTTTTTATCACATTATTTACACATTAGAACTGCCAGTAATTCAGCAATAACAAGAAGTTGGTACAATAAGTACAAAAATGTATTCATTTTGGCAATATATTTGTATAAATATACATATTTGTATCGCAAATTCATGAACCATCGTGAGTTGAAAAGACCAGGTTTTTAAGTTTTGATTTTTCAAGTAAACAATTCTAAACTAACTTTCAAATTTGGTAACAACTATTTTTCCAACTGAAAAAGTGTTTTTTTTTTTTTTTTAAATTAAAGGTTTCTTATTTTAAAGCTTCTGAAATATAAACTTTTTTTTCTTTGTTTTTTCTTTGCTGGAGAATGCCATCATTTTAAATTGATTCTCCATATATGCCACAACTTTGTCTCCTAAATGTCCAAACATTGTGGATGAAGTGACGACTGAACCTAACTTTAAAACATGACAGTGATAATGAGATGAAGCCTTCTAAATTTAATCTGGGCTCTTTGGGTTTTATTACTTCTTTGAATATAAAGTAAAAAAAAAAGTTATTTTTAAATCTGTGTCTTATTCCCCCACAGTGTGTGTCTGCACATGTGCTTTATTTCTGTGGGTTATGATTCATTTTAAGCTGAATAAAACATAAAAAAATGTCCATGAATAATTTCTAAATATCAGAGGAAAAGAAGGCCAAGAGTGACATCAGTGCATTTCAAATGCCAAACAGTTTCAGAGTCTTGGTAGATTAGTATTACTGCCTTCAGCTTGATGGAGACAGGGTGTATTTTCTCGGCGACTAAATGACTGCTGATGAAATGTCCTTTATGTAAAGCACGCTGCTCTGAGGAGTCTCATGAAAAAGTGCTCTTAGTCATAACTGTTGGAGGAAGTGACGGCGTCGCCTCTGAATGCTGCCCTGTAAAACCCTGGTCCACAGATTAAGCTGCTTCGGTTGTGAGGCAGCTGAAGAGCCTCTTGTGTATACATGCATTTGACATTATGCAGTGACTGAGTCTAAGCCAAACATTACCTGCTCCTCCATCATGCCCACTCTGTGGCACTCCGCTTCAGTGGACCTCATTAGCCCAGCTCATTTAGTGCCGAGCGCACAGTGACGGATTGTGGCAGCGACTCGGTGGGTTGTTTAATCTGCTGAGGAAGATTATATGTACTTAGAGTAAAATATGTAATTGTTACCAGCCGTTTCTGAACCTGTGACATGTTTTGATTTAGCCTTCTAAACGCTGCAAGCACACTGGAGAGCTTTAACTCTAACACCACAGTCAGAGGAAGGCTGATGAGTCTGACAGGGTTTGTACAGGTGCTGGAAATCTTTTTTTTTTTTTTTTTTTGCAGACTGGTATCTGTCTGATTTGTTTCCTTTTAAATGCAAAAGAACATTGTGAGTGGAAAAAAATAACCTCTGAGTATAACTTCTGAGCCTGTGATCATTGAGTCAAGAATAAAAATTATTCTTAGGATTAAATAAAAGCTTCCCCAAAAAGAGCTAAGTTAGTTGAAACGGCTAAAAGACAACAAACACAATTGAAAAATGAATTTTTTATAATGTGTCCAAATAAGTAAAGTGAATGTCAGTTCAGATTAAACAGTTCATATTGCAAAGAGAAACAATATTGCCAAAAATTAAAAAAAAAACTCTTTTTGTTTTTTTGTTTCTTCAATGGAAAAGTGCTTCACAGTGATTTAAGAGAGGACTGAGGAAAAAATATGTGAGAATTAAAATAAACTGCTGCCCCACACCTCTCTTAAAAAAAAACAACAAAAAACCAATGATTGCTAAAGTTTTTCAAAGATGAAATCCCTGAAAGCGCAGAAATCATTTGGATCCTTCATTTTGGATTCTCTAAATTCAAAAGTGTGAACTTTAATATTAACCAACATTTCAGCAGCTGCACAGAGTTTAAATTACAGAAGCTGTTTTCCGTCGCCACTGACATAATGCAATTCATTAAAACGTAGTCACACGTCCACAGTTGACTGTAGTGCAGGAATACAGTTGAGGTTTTCTTGTAAGCGTGCATACAGTGCTGCAGTGGTCTGTGGTGTGGGATGCTTTTTAATTACAGCACTGTTTTTATATGTTGTGTTTGTGGAGTCATTTTATCGCCGTTGCACTGTATGTGCAAAACCTGTCAACTGTGACGCCCAGAACGAGCTGCTGGATCGAGTCGACACTTTTAAAAAAGTAAATGTTTCATCGAGTCGACACTTTTAAAAAAGTAAAGAAGACCCAACCGTTCTGCTGGATCGAGTCGACACTTTTAAAAAAAGTAAAGAAGACCCTACTGTTCCGTCTTTATTTAAAACAATAATTCAGTTGAAACAATTCTGTTCAAACAAAGTGCAGAAATGTGTTGGAGTCAAACGCAGTTGTGAGTTGTGTTAGTTTTGTTAAAGTTAGTGTTTTATGATGTCATATATTTTTCAGTTTTAACAACATTCTTGTTATGAATGTCTTTCTCTGGCGTTCTTTTTTTTTTTATAGATACTGGTCAGTGCAAGTCTCAGCCCAAAGCTGTCGTGTGCATACTTCAGAGATCTGCTGCAGACTTGTGTGTGTGTGTGTGTGTGTGTGTGTAGGTCTTTGTATGTGTGTATTTGTGTATGTTTTTCATTATGTGGTGCGGTGGCTTTGCTCGGTGATGTTTTTTGGCAGGGCGGATTGCTTTGAGCAGGATTGCTTTGAGCCGCTTGATTCTTTTAGCTGTGGTCTGTGTTCGTCTGTGCATTCGAGCTGTCCAGCCACGCACAACGGTTTATTTTTGTCAGGTTGTAGCCCACAGACCAGGCTGGGTAAATCCTCATGTTGTCAGGATCTCTCTGTCTCTCTCTCTCTCTCTCCTGGTTGTTGTCTGGGTGTGTGTGTGTGTGTGTGTGTTACACTGCTGTTTCCTCACACCATAGCACCAGAGGTCACGGTGGAACCCGGGGCGACGGAACAGTTGTGTTCACATGGAAGTTACCTGCTGACCTATTTGTTGAAAGTGGGTCGTCCGGTTGCTCATTGTGTCTCAGAGATGAGCTCATCTCAGAACTTAACATGCAACAGGATGTATCACTTTGAGTTCCCACACTCTTAGAAACACACACACACAAACAGACACACACCATGCAGCAGGTACTACCCCCCTTCCCCCCCCGGCTCCCCCAATT